GTCTTCCTTTATCCAATTGACTCCGAGCACTCTCAAATCTTCATCGTGAGGTTCGGCACAACTTTTAAGTATTTACATTTTAGTCCCCGAACTTTGGATCCCTTACAATTTAGCCATTTCTCCAAATTTGTCAACGTTTGCTTATTTTCTTCGATCTCACCAACTTACGTCACAACATCAAAATCACACATCTAATTATTTATCAATTATATAAAGATTACATCATTAATTATTTCAATAACCAAAAAAATTACATCTTTATTAATAACAAATTAATTCTTAAACAAAACTATTAAATATAAATTAGATAAACGTGCATTGCACGTTGCTTGTACCTAGTTTTATAAAAAAATGGGAAAAAGTAATATTGGGGCCAGACAGCAATGTCGGATAGTCGGAGTATCATGGTCGTTCGTTAACTGACGGCCGATCGATTTTTTTTATCCTTATTGACTAATTTCTCATGTTTAATCTAATTTTTTTCTAATATTTTGATTTGTAATGCAGATATGGCATCAACATGTGTTCTGATTTGTTATTTTGGTGAATTTCAAATAAATGAAAATGGTCAATGAGAATGGAAATGGACGAGTGAAGAATATGGAGTTATTGCAATTTTGATAACATCGATTAAATTATTTATAGAAATTTATCATGATATACAAAACATGCTTAACGTTGATCCCTCTTAGTACAATATGAAATTGAGATTTTTATTTAACGAGCATTCAATCATTCTGATTCCACTTGTGAAAATTACTTCATAAGTGCAAAAATAAAGTTTGTAATTAAATTGAACCAAGGCCGCAAGTTGACTATTTGCGTAACTTTATTGAGGAGAAATGTCCCCAAAGGTGAACACGAAGATTTCAATGAAGGTGATTGTAATGTAAATGATTTTTGGGATACAAATATAGCTCCGAGGATGATGTGAATATTCTCAAAATAGTTGCTACTCACCATGATCTCACTATCACGCACAGAATTCACGAGGAAGTTCATGATAACGAGGATGAAAGGAGATTTACAAATCAGGATTTAATTGCTTTATTCAGTCAGAGACATGGGCTGAGTACACGATGTTCTAATTGTTCGCGTGTGGTTCTCGATGATGAAGATTTGCATGACGATAAACTATTTGATACAAAGATAGGTTTGCAAAAGCTATGCACTGAATTGAAATGA